GCGTTTTTTGCATAGTTCCTCGCAGTTTTTGTCGCTATCGGCACCGGTTTTTCCGGCAGATGCTTCCATATAAAAAAACTGAGACTAGCCGCCAGGACTGTCAGGAAGCATCCCTTCAAAATTTCAGCTTTCCAACTTTCGTGGTTCCCGAGTAAGCAGTTTATCTGCAAAAAACTTTCACGAACTCGTATATGGAAACCACGCAAACCAGGCAGTTGGCTATCAACTCAGTGGGACCTACGTGAACTAGGAACATCCCCTTAAAATTACAGCCTCTGGCTTCTCACGTTTCCGAGTTAGCAACTTACCCGAAGAAAACTCCCAAGGACCCGTACGTGGGCACCACGCCCATCCGGGGGCTGGGTTTGCACTCGCTGAAACTTACGTGGACAGAGGACATCTCTTTAAAATTCCAGCCTTCTAGCTTTTCTGGTCCCCAAGTTAGCGACTTACCCGCAAAAAACTTTCACGGGATCGTATGTAGGTAACACCGCCCACTTTTGGGATGGCCCTACATGCATGTAGACTAGGTCCCCAAAGTTTCAGCTCTATGTTTGCAAGTCTCGAGATGAAATTTCAATACAGGCGCCCAATGCACAAACAAACACATACACAGACAACGTCTCGTCAATATGCGTTTTCTGCATTGCATAGTTGCAAAAAAAGGCATGAAAACAAGTGAGGGTACGATGCTGATTTTGAAATGTAAAATTTCATTAAAAAAAATTTGAAGTACCGGACTTTCCCTGGCCCTTCAATCGCAAATCGTACCTCCTGGCATATCCAATCGGAAATAATAGCTCCGATGAGCAGTGTATTGCCACCGATTCCTCTTCTGACTTATCGCCTTCAAAGCTAAGCTAAACAAGGCCCAAATTTTATACAAACGAAACTAACTGCGTATATGAGTCATTTGGATAATGAGTTTATGCAAATACATTTTGCATATGGGCAAATGGTCTAAAGCAATCGATAAGCAATTTTCCATGAATGTGACAACATGAAGTCACATAAGAAAGACAAAAAAAACGGTCTTAGCATCTAAATGAGTGAGGGACAAACATCACAGTAACAGCTGAATG